CACCCATTTTAAGCATATAAGACAGTGCCCAGACCCTTGAGTTCAAGTCCCAGTATAAACAACGATTATTGTTTCTAGTGACAGACTGCTGAGTAGGCTGAGAGAGAAGTGGTGCTGGTACTTCACAAGCAAAAGGAACTCTGGCCAGCTGGACTAGGAGATGATGGCTGAGAGAAGAGGGAGCTCTGGTTCCGGCACAACCGTGGCCTTGGCAAGGGCCCTTAAGTTCGCTTTGTTCCAGTTCTGTGACCTCAGTAACAGCTTACCTTCCCGGGTTAGGCAAAGGAGGGGAACAGCAAGCTCTCAGCAGGAAGGCAGTACTCGGTGCTTGCTACCAACTGTAACCCAGACTGGATTTGCAAGAGCCGAGGACATACAATTGGCTACTAGACGAAAGGAAAGATTGGTGAATGTGGCTCAGAAAAAGCAATGCTACGGTGCCAACTCTGAACGCCCCAATTCCTTTAGGCAAGAAATGAAAACTTTTTAATTTTTGGTCAGTCGTGGGGCCTGAACTCTGGGCCTGGGCGCTGTCCCTCAGCTCTTCAGCTCAAGGCTAGCGCTCTACCACTTGAGCCACAGCGCCACTTCCGGCTTTTTTCTTTTTGCTTATGTGGTGCTGAGGAATCGAACCCAGGGCCTCATGCATGCAAGGCAAGCGCTCTACCACTGAGCCACCTTCCCAGCCAAGAAATGAATAAAAACTTGTTGCACTGTATGTGGCCACACATGCTGTAATCCCAAATGTTTAGGAGATGGAGATAGGAGGATTTGGGCCTCCAGCAGGTCCCAGTCAAAAGCTCTAAGACCCTATTTAAAACTAACTACAGCAAAGGGGGGGCTGGAAGTGTAGCTTGACTTGCAAGCTAGGTCGAGTTCAATTTCCCTACCACATTAAAAGCACACACATCCCAATAGAGGGTTCCTCTAAGAATTAGGCTCGGTGCCAGTGGCTCAGGCCTGTAATCCTAGCTACTCAGAAGGCTGAGATCCAGAGGATCAAGTTTTGAGGTCAGGCAGCAAAGGCCATGGGACTCCACCGCCAATTTGCAAGCAAAAACCCAGGCTGAAGTCATGGCTCAAGCAGTAGAGCATCAACTAAGAAAGCCAAGCACAAACTCAACTCCTGGAGTTCAGCCTGTGTATTGGCACACTGGCATGGGGGGTGTGTGTGTGTGTGGGGGGGGGGAGTTTGGCCAGGCACTGGTGGCTCATACCTGTAATCCTAGCTATTTGGGAGACTGAGATATGAGAATCATGATTCCAAGCCAGCCTGGGCAGGAGTTAGCCGATTTTGTCTCCAATTAACCAGCAAAAAGGCAGGAGAAGCTGTGGGTCAAATGGTAGAACACCAGTTTTGAGCCAAAAAGCTCAGGGACAGTGCCCAGGTTGTGCGCTCAGCCTCACAACCCCTTTCCCCCAGAAAGTTTGATTGTACCTTCAACTACTGTAATTATGCAAAATGTCTTTCTACAAAAGATGTTATTGTCCCATGTAGCTAGGGTTTAATATTATGTAAAGCTAGATGAAAGCTTGCTGGGAAGGTGGCTCAGTGGTAGAGCGCTTGCCTTGCATGCCTGAGGCCCTGGGTTCGATTCCTCAGCACCACATAAGCAAAAAGAAAAAAGCCGGAAGTGGCGCTGTGGCTCAAGTGGTAGAGCGCTAGCCTTAGCTGAAGAGTTCAGGCCCCACGACTGGAACCCCCCCCCCCAAAAAAAAAGCTTTATAAAAGATGTGTGTGTGCACATGTGCATCTCAGGTGCTGTTGTTGCTTCTGCAAACAGAGAATTCAAATGATTTAAATATAAGCTGTGAGCTAATTACATTCCTCTAACCATAGAGCTGTGATCCACGAGGATCTAAAAAAGATACCAAGTGATTTGATTCTTGGCTGCACATTAGACCTTAGATCTAAAATATACCAATCCAGGATATGGATCAGGAGTGGGTCTGCACACTGCCTTGTCTGAAGCCCTCCAAGTCATCCTAAATATGCAGCTGGTGCAAAAGCCACTGGATAAATTTCATTTCCTCCTCATCCAAGGAAATTGAGAAAAGCAGTCCTGAATCTGGGGAAATTTCATCTGTCCTTCACTCAGCCCCTGGAGCATCTCTGCAAGGGAGGGCTAGTCCACTCCATAGGTAAGTACTGGAGCTCAGTACTTACCTAGAGCTCAGTACTTACCACTGGAGCTAGGTTCCCTGTGAGCTTTAAAGCATCGCCCCCACTAAGGCTAGACACCCTCCTCTCTATTGGTCAGCACGAGGAGGGGCGTGCTCAAGCTGATGGCTTGGGAGTTACATCCTGACAAGTGTCAGGATTTTCAGGCCACAAAGCCAGTTGGTGCCCATCCTGAACACAAGCATGAGGCCATGCTCCTCCCCATCGGACACAGGCCTGCACAGCTCAACCTGGCAAGTAAGGCGGGATCCAGCTCTCTAGCTGTGCCTTTACTCCTTTCCCCACTTTCTACTTTTTTGATCCATTTTTGCTCCATAACAAATAGGGAGGTTAAAGAAAAGCACTGAAGGATGCACATTGCTCTACATTTTGGGTCCTTCTGAAATTCTCTTAAAGACAGGGTACTGTATCTTTTATTTAGTATTGCAGGAAGAGTATCTTTCCTCTGCAAACATTTTCAGTAATTGCTTGATTATTCCTTCACATTCCCAGATTATCTGAACAACCTTCCTCTAATTGCCCATTTTTTTTTAAACTGGACCAAGAAACTAAGGCTTATTATGTGTATCTTCAAATAGCCTATCAACAAAATCATATAAATCTGCATTCCCACCACTAGTGTTTGATCATTTTCTTCCTGCCAGCATTATAATCAGCTGAACAAAATTATGTTAACTGGTAAGGCTGAGCACCAATTTTACCAAATCTCTGGTTTTCTGTTCAGCTTTTCTGTTCAGGGACACCAAACATGGGGTCACGAATGTCAGGCAGCCTACTACTTAGCTGGATTTCCAAACCCCCTTAAACATCTAAACAATCTTTCCAAAACACAAATTGGATCTTCTCAGATAATTTTACTTTGCAGAAAACACTGCCTGAGAAACTAGTCGGCCTGCCTTATTTGCAGTTTATTACAGCTTGCACCCATCACAGCCAAAATTCAGAAGAACTTTAAAAATTAAATTTCAAAAACGAACTGTTTTCATTCCCATGCATGCATTACACAGCTCAGTTGACAAGCTCTCATGCAGGTCCACACTACGGTCAATGGTATTTAAATTATGACCTACTACTGCCTTTTCCTTGGCCTTAAATTTGTAAAAGTGCAGCATGCCTCCCAAATAGGGCCCAAAATGCAAGATAAAGGTGAATATGCTTAGTTTAAAAAGACAGCATCTCTAAGAAGAGCTGGGTGACACTGTGGCCAAAATAAAGTACTTAACGTTGCAGCCCGAGTGCTCATACTTCCTCCTCACAGTCCATTCTGGAGCCATCACCCGGAAACCAAGTGCACACTGCATACATACATACATCTCAGCGTCACCAGGCCATCTCATGCCAGAGACTTTTTGCCCCTACCATTCTCCCAAACTCATCCTTTTTTATTATACCCACCTTTGGCTCCTTTGTTGTTTTATGGATTTTTTTGGTGGGTGGGGGAAGATACTTGGGTTTGACCCAGGGCCTTGCACTTGCTAGGTGGAAGGCTGTATATTTTCACTGCTGGACTTAACAGTTCAAGCTAACAATCTTACCTCAGGGGCCCTGCTCTAACCATGCTTCGAGTCCACCTCACGGCCCCATTCTCTGCACCCACAGATATACTGTGGCTGTGCCTTTTTACACTGCAGCCACATGAAGCTCCACGGTGACAACTGTGCCCTCACTCTTCTCATGCACAGAGCTCCATCCTGACACTAGCTGTTAAGTAATGGCAGCATAAGCAAAACTGCTTCTGGATGACTGGGTGTACAAGTGTCTACAGACAACACAAGCAAAGTTAAGACTATGAAAAGACGGCAAATGGTACTAAGATTGCAAACTCAAGAGCCAGCCCACTTTGCTGCACAAAGAAGCCTTTACACAGATGAAAGCAGTTGTCTGGAGAGAATGAAAATCAGGTGAGAAGAGGAAAGAAATTAAGGATGGTTTCAAGACTAAAGGTTTCATGCTTCCAGATAACAAACACAAGTACTATAATGCACAAAAACACTAGACAACTGTTAATCCTTAATGCATCTCAATTTTCCCAAAAATAATTACTATAAATTGGGACTTATAAATTGAGGTAATAATAAGTGCTTCAGAGTGACCAGAAGAATGGGCTATTTACTGTACTATTCTCTAGGGCACAATCCTGACAATACATGAGGAATATAAAGAATTCCTGACACACAGTACAGTCAGTCCGATGAACACCAAAATCTTATGAACAAGGCTGATCCCATGTGATCAGTACTTTTTTTTTTTGATGCTGATCACAGGGCTTGAACTCAGGGTCTGCACACTGTCCTTGAGCTTTTTTGCTCAAGGCAAGTGTTCTACCACTTGGGTCACAGCTCCACTCCTGGATTTTTTGGTGGTTAACTGAAGGTACGTCTCTCATGAACTTTCCTACCTGGGCTGTCTTTGAATCTTGTTCCTCAGATCTTAGCTTTCCTCAGAGTAGCTAGGATCACTGGCATGAGCCACTGCCCACTGGCACCCAGCTCAGTACCATATTTTAAGGTAGGACTAGAGATGGACTACAAGCAGAGAACCAAATTAATATATTCTTTTCAGAGAACAAATTGGCAGCATTTATTCAAGTTATCATGTACAATCCTAAAATTCAAGGTGAACTAATACACCAAAACTGAAGGAATATTTCTCTGTTATCAGTTTCTAGTAACTAAAACCTACAATTAACTTAAATGGTATATCTAAAGAGAAGCAGAACCTAGCCACTATGCAACAGCATGTTTGTGAATACTGATACAGTCTATCCTCAGTTTTTTTTTACAGAGTAATATACAGAACAATTTAGAGTATAACTTACATGTTGGAACAAAGATCTATGAACTCTATTTTCCTACAACTTTAAAAAACAGTTTTGTAGCCAGATGTTGGTGGCTCACACCTATAATCCTAGCCACTCAGGAGGCTGTTTCTCTCATTTCAAAGACAGCTTGGGCAGGAAAATCCACAGACTCTTATCTTCAATTAACTTTCAAGAAAAAACAAACATACACACAAAAATTTTATAAATGCACTGAAGAAATTTCTGGCAGTTCTCTCTGGATAGAAAAAAAAAATCAGCTTAAGAAAACAAGTTTATGCCAATGATTAGATTTTTCTAGTACACAATAAATATTTCTATTTTAAATTTTTATTGGAAACTTACTGATTAACCAGGATACTGTGACTTTTTAGGAATTATTCCCAAGTAGCAAACAATCAGAAATGGACAAAGATTTATCTATACACATTTCAATATAAACATGTTAATAAAATTTGCATTTACAAAGTCACTGGTATTTTATAAAAAATACCCACCAGTACTGAATCAAGAGTGTATTTGTGTAACAAAATACTATACGTCCTCTAAAAGTCACGGTATTACCTTTTGTGAACACAGAATATTCTCACTAACTTGAAAGGTAAGGGCACGGCCACAGGCTGGGTGGCCAGTATTAAACGCTGTCACTTCCAGTAGGACTACAAGTGATTCTGCTTGTTGTTTTCAATTCATCTCCTGATAAACTAAGATTTCTCTAACTGCCTAAAATGATCAGGTACTTAGGGAAAACGCTATTAAAATATATGCTCAAAACCATCTCTACACTTGCTTTACAAACTGAATGGTGAAAATGTGACCTGATACCTAAGCTTTTGGTATGAGTTCTTTTGGTATGAATTCAAGATAAATTTCAACACATTTGGGAAGTATTATAATGATGCAAAAGTCATCATTTCTCAGGAAACTTAATAAAATGTTAAAGACATTACTTTGTTTAACAAAGGAATTTATTAGAAAATATTACACACTACATATTTGCTTCAGAGTATTGTTTCAGTAGACAGCACTCCATCCAACCTCAAACTACAATTTCTTAGACCCTGCCCCAACCACTGTGCTTCTGAAGCTGCATTTTGGGATGAAACATTCAAGCAGTACACATTTGTGGGCATTTAAGAAAGATGTAATGGAGAACATGTGGTAATGACCAGCATGACAACAATCATAGGCGTTTTGGAATATTGAAGTAATGGGTACCTACTATTAAGTCTCAAAACTCTAGGCATGTCAAAAGCCTAAAATATCAGCCAATGTGGCTATTAAGAGTCAAGGTTCCAAAGATCAATATCATAACCAAACCTTGAAGAAAATGAGCAGTCTGTAATTCTATAGTTTATAGCAGTTTCTAAACTACTTTTGATAAAGTTTGGATACATGCAAAATTAACGCAAATTTCTGAAAAAGAAAAAAGAATGAGGAAGGTAAAAGCAACAAATTGTTTTTTTAAAAAAAAAAATACACAAGGCATGCACCAATTCACTTTTTAAAAGTTCAAGTTCTAATCAAGTTAACATTCTTCATGAGCTATTGTAAATACAGCCCAGATACAGAACACAACAAACTTGCTATTTTTAAGAATGGTGGAAATTCTGGAGAGCCAAAGATATGAGCCCACAACTCTTCAAAATACCACCTAGTATTTCTTCAAAACCCCAGAGTTTATTTGCAAAACCTAATACAAAGATTATTTTCAAATATCATTCAATTCTCAAATGTCTCTGAAGGAAAATGAAAGAAAAGCACACATTCATCAGCTTAGAAACAGCAGTTTGCCATCAAATTTCCGAACTACCACTAACTCAAAGACTGGCAGTTCACACCATCATTTTTTTTGAGGTTCTGATCTGGAACAAATAAAAAGATGTGGGCTGGTCATCTGAAAGGCTGTCTTTATGTCTTAGTAAGAGAAACAGACTTCCAAACAGACTTCTAAACTTCATTCCCCATCATAATCTAAACATACTTTAATTTAAAATATATATCAGTAAAATACCATATACAAATGCCCAGAAATGTAGAATGAAGATCAAAAATGATTTGAAAAATTTTTTTAGGATTAGAATCATTACCTAATATAGCTTACTAACTAACTAGCACAATCACCACAGATGGGAGAAACATTTCAAAGTATTTCCACCTATCAAAGCTAGCACCAGGAAAATATTACACACAAAAAACCAACATAATCATTAATTCAGAAAGCACAAGTCTACAGAATATTGCTCTAGCAAAAGGGTCTGTCTCACTGAGGTGTATATTTACCTGGGATCCATTAATATATTATCTTAACATCTTCCCAGTTACTTGGTATCTATTGAAAACTGTTACTGGAATGAAAGACAGTTTATCATGAAAGAATTCCTTTTTTCTTTCCAGAAATGAAATAGTGGTCCTAAACTTACCTTTCATAAAAATTAACATCTAAAAACCCCCCAAAAACTTGGTCTTTGAAAACCTAAATAAAACTCCATTACTTAATTTTCCTCTCCTTTTATCAAATAAAAGTTTTAATGTCTGTAATTCTACAACATAGTTGATAGCCACTAATTTCATTTATCATAAAGCATTTGAAGACATCGCGAATGGGTATAACAGTCCATCAGTGATTATAGACAGAACAACATCAACCTGAAGCCAGTGAAGTAAGTTTTGAAATTCTACCTTAGTCCCAAGGAAGGAGAAGAGTCCCCACTAAGAGCAACTATCTAACGGGAACAAATTATTTATCATCTCGGATGGGTCAAGAGAACATAATTTCTGAATAGACAAAAATTTTCAAAATGAGTCTTCTATAAATTCAACAGATTTTCAACTGCCAAAATTACAATCTAGCAAATCAAACTGCTTCATCTCAACTGGGGGAAAAAAGGCACAAAGAAAACCAAGCAGCAGAAGCTTTATTTGGTAATACAACAGGAAGAGGGGCTCAAAGTTGTGAACACTAAATTTTAGTATTGTGATGATGTTTGCTATCTAAGCAATTTATTTCAGATATGTACTTTAAAAATACACATTAGGAACCCTGCAATTGGTCTATTAATATTAGAAATATTTTAATGGTAATACATTATTTAACTTTCTATAATTAAATTCATAAAGATTACACTTTATAGCTTGACAGAATAAATGTAATATATATACATATATATGTGTATATATATATGTATTGTCTTCCAAAACCAGTGCTCTTTAGAAGTTTCTAATTTATGCACTCCATGATTTCAATAAAAAAGCTGTACATCCTCTAGTATCCACACTATAACACAATCCTAGTAAAAATGCACATTCCATTAAACCCTTTATTTTCCCTTGAATTTGCTTTATTTGAGGGGAGAGGTTAAAGAAATTGCAGTGCAGAACTATATTTATTTAGAACAAAACATTATATTCTACATTAAAAAAAATAATGTTTATCAAAACCAGATTTCAGTCACAGTTATGATTCTCAGGTAAGGGTACATGTTGAATTGCACTTGGCAGGTGTCTTGGCAATGTCCTTTACAGCTCTCCCCATTTCAGCCTATGTTTTTTTCAGTAGTCATGGGTTCTTCCACAGTTTTCTTTTGGCTCCCCTTCCGTGAATATTTGTATTTGTCTACATAGGCTTTAACCAGATTTGCCACTTTAGCAGAATTTACTTCTCCACTCTTACTATGACAAACCTAAGGAAAAAGGGGGGAAAACTTTTTTCATGCTTAAAGAGATTAAGCAAAATGGAAAGCTTTGTGAAACACCCAGCCAGACAACACAATTATTTTCATTTTGCAGATTTCATAGACTTAATTAAAAGGTAAAAAAGCAGACAAGAATTAGTTAGAGCTAGCTTTTATTAATTAAATTTAAGCATTATTTTATTAAGATAGAAATGGGCTAAAAAAGTAACATGCACGTAACACCACTAAAACTGTAACTTACTTTATCTACTGCTTTCCGTACAATCTCTTTATATTCTTCCTTGGTGATATCTTTGTTTTGGTAAAATGGCTTAATAGCCAATTTTACCTCCTGGGCAGCTTTTTCTTGGATTTGCAATTTCTGATGAAAAGAAAATGGGTAATTATTATTTGCCAATTACATAGTTTCAAGAAATACCTTTTAAAAATACAAAGTTGAAAAACTGCACATTTCTAGCATTAAACCAAACACTTCACATGTAAGACAAACAAAATTATTTACTAACATATATTAAATATTTCTAAAAATAAATATGTAATATTACTGGTAAATCACAAAGTATTAAAAAATCTAGATAGAACCTTTCAAAAAGTACTGGATTTGAAGACTCAAAATGCAATTCCCTACACCAGTCATACAATAAAATGCAATTTTTTTCATCTTTATCACATACAGAATTATCATATACAGGTTGCTCTCAACCTTGAACTTGCCTTGTCTGTCTTCGAGCTATCTGCGCTGGCTTCCACTGTAACACTTACTTTGCTTTCTGCCAATTTTACAGCAGCATTAGAGGCTTTGCTGTGACTTGATGACGGAGTATTACCAGAACTTGGTCCCTGAACTGTTCCCATACTTCCTGGGGCTGCTGTCGGAGCAGGCAAGACTGGTGTACTCATGTTATTACTTACATGAGAAGCACTAGGTATACCCTGTTTTAAAGAGTTATCATCAGTTAATGAATTACTTGTACGCAATACAAGTCTTTTAGTCACGTATTATGAATTATATTGAGACATACAATTCAACCTTAGTACTTAAAGGAAATGCCTAATTCAAGTCAACTGTACATAAAAGACCCTTTGAAAATAATGAACATATTTGTAAACAAAGTCTTATTTAAATATGTCAAGATGACTTTTTGTAAAATAAAAGATCAGAGCCCCCCGAGTAGTTAGGATTACGGGTATGAGTCACTGGTGCCCAGATCCATGATGACTTTTAAATTATTATACATGCACTGCACTGTTCTCAAAGCAACATGAAAAACATTTAAACAGTATTTAAAGAATCCTGGGAGGCTCTTTAAGAATTTAAACTAACGTTCAATGTCCCCATTTTAAATATTGGAGAAAATAAAAAAGGGACATTAAGGACTGGAAGGAGCTGACATCAGAAAGGGTACAGGAACCCACATTCTACAGTATCATTTCCCTAC